TAACAGATAAAAAAGTCTCGTTACATATAGACAGGATTCAACTGTCAGATAAAAGAAAAAAAAACAATATTTATACGCTTAGCTTTCAAGTACTTGTCAAAATAAATATAACATTAAATTTAAATAACTGATTTCAAAATCTTGTGTTTTTTCTTATTTCATCATTTATCTAGTTCGTCAACCATTACATGATTTTCATCATCCTCAACGTCTTCATGGACGTCATTTACCAAGTATACCTATTTCAAAACTTGGTGCTGTTAGTGGTCCAACTGTGAATTCAAATGCAACAACAACAAATCGTTTTCAACCAAATCCTCTTTTCTTACAATCAATTGCTGCAACAACAAATAATACAAATTCACAACAAAAAAAATTTATTCCTAAACAAAATAAATATGGTTTTGACTCCATGAATAATAAACCACGTCAAATAACAATTGTTAAACAAGGCAATGAAAAACCACATAAAACAATAACAATATTACTTAATCGACGAACAGTTCAAACATATGATCAACTTTTATCCGATATTTCGGAATCATTTGGTTATCAAAAAAATCGAACAGATAAAGTATGTGGGAGGATAGACGGAGAATGACGAGAAAAAAAAAATATAAAATCCATCTTATTCCATAGAAACTCAGGCATCAAGAAAATCTCGTTTCCTTTTTTTTTCTATGAAAATTTGCTACTGGTTTTCTTTTTTCTTTAACGTCAAAAGCATATTATATTAGAAAGTAAGATGTGAAGATAAACAGGATGAGAATTTTCCTGTCTCAGTCTCCTCATGCATATCTAATTCTCTGACAATGAAGACAGACTTACTACTTTTGACTGTAGTTTTATATGAATATATCTTCTCATTCTATAGATCAAACGTTTATTTAATCTAAAAGGAAAACAAGTTAATGGAATCAATGATTTTTTTCGTGACGGTAAGTAGAAAAATTTATAGTTTTTAACAGTTCATTATTTTTGATTATTATTATTATTATAAAGATGATGTATTTGTTGCATCAACAAATATAACAGATCTGACTTCAACTGATTTACAAGAAATAAATATTGAAATGCTTAATGACACACAACATTCAACATCACGTAATACAGGTTTTGGTCGAAATCAATTAAAACAAAATGTACAAATACCATCTGATGGTGATATATCAAATACACAAACTGGACCACTTACTGTTGATTTAAAAAAAATGCTCACTGTACGTGATAGTGGCTTTTTAGATGATGAAGACGGTTTATCTGGTCGAGATAGTGTATTAACAACATCACGTAAAACACCATCGCGACCTACAAATAATACTACTAATAAACAATATGAAGCGGCTTCTGAAGATACGCCAACGCCTAATGATCTCATTGGACGGAAATTAAAAAGTAAGCGAAACCTTACTATAAGAAATTTAGTTGAAAGTAATCTTTTTAAAACCAATCGATTATTTTTCATTGAAAAACTTGAAAATTGTTCTTTTTTTTTTTCTTCAAATTTTAATAATTCATTTATTCTATGATACTTCATTATTTATAAATATTAAATCAGAAATTCTAATTGTTTTTTTTTTAATTTTTGTCTTTGTTGTAAAGGACCAGCATTTAAACCATCAACTACTCTTTCTATTGAACAACAACGAGAACGTGAACGACAACGTTTACGAGAAGAAGATGAACGTCGAAAAAAACTTTTAATTCGAAAAGATCATCAACAACCAGCAGCGATTCAACCAGTACCAAAATTTGAACCATTAGCAGTTGATATTAATAATGATGAATCTCGTACGAATAAATCAAAAACTCCAACAACAGGTACGGGTACATTTTCTCCAAATTTTCCTTTAACTAGTGGTACGACAACAAAAGTATTAAATAAACAACCATTATCCATAACACCATTACCTCGTACAAATATAACAACTAATCATGATGAAAATGATCCAACAACTAATAATGAAACAACAACAATTGCAGCAGCTTCAACATTATTACCAGCATCAATAGTAAAAAAATATCTTATTAAAAAACGTTCAACCGTTTTAGTAAGATTAAGTATTCATATTTTTTCTTTTTGGATTTGGAATGTATTTGAATATTTTTCTTTTACAGCATAATTCTTCTTCTGTTGTTATTGATAAATATGAACTTGGTAAAAAAATGGGTGATGGAAATTTTGCTGTTGTACATCGTTCAAAATTACGTGGTACTGATCGTGAATATGCAATTAAAATAATTGATAAATCAAAGATGAAAGTAAAAAGAAGAAGAAAAATATTTTTAAAATAAAATAAATTTTCTTTCTTTTCTATTCTTTCAAAAAATAGGGAAAAGAATATATGCTTGATCATGAAATAAACATAATGTATATGTGTAATCATCCAAATTTAATACGCTTATTTGAAGATTATGAAACTCCTGATGAAATTTATCTTGTTATGGAATTAATTAAAGGTGGAGATCTATTTGATTATATAACAAAACATCGTCGTTTTGATGAACCAACATCTTCATTAATGATTAAAGATGTTGCTGAAGCGCTCTTATATTTACATGCAAAAAAAATTGTTCATAGAGATTTAAAACCAGAAAATTTATTAGTTATGCAAAGAAAAGATGGACGTATTACAATTAAATTAACAGATTTTGGTTTAGCTATGCAAGTATCTGGACCAATAAAAACGGTTTGTGGAACACCAACGTAAGTTAATATTTATTTACAAACAAAAACAAAAAAACATAATAATCCAAATAAATTTTTTTGTAGGTATGTTGCACCGGAAATACTTGCTGAAACTGGTAAAACATTGATATGATATTTAAAAAAAATCAATAAATAGATGATTTCATGATTCTTTTTTTTTGTTTTTCAAAATTAGGTTATAGTTTTGAGGTTGACTGTTGGGCAACAGGGATTATTTTATATATTCTTCTCTGTGGTTATCCGCCATTTAAAACAGCAGATCGTAATCAAGAAGCATTATTTCAATTAATTCAACGTGGAAAATTTATTTATGATCCTGAATATTGGAGTTCAATATCAGCAAGTAAGTTTTTTCAAAAGAAAATAAATATTTAAATTAATTCATATTATATTTATTTAATAGATGCAAAAAATTTAATCGATCATTTATTAGTTGTTGATCGACATAAACGAATGCGTGCTGATGAGATTCTTCTTCATCCATGGATATTGGGTGTTGGTCAATCTAAAACAATGCGTAATTCGGAAGAAATGAAAACTGCGTTACGTCTAAAATATGACAGTAAAATCAAGGAATATGCTGCTGAAAATAATGGACCTTGATTTAAACAAATGAACAGGCTGAAAAATGACATAAAATGTCAGATTTTTGTTTTCTTCCGTTTACTTTATTTGAATCTTTAAAAATTTTTTATAATCTCTCTTTTTTATTGTCTATTGTTGAATGTGCACTTAATCCGAATGATTTCTATAATTGCTAGATAAAAAGAAACGTACCTATTTATTTTTTCTATTTAAAAAAAAAACTTTAATATTGAAAATTTTTATTTTAAACAATTAATAAATTTTCATGTGACATACTATTATAATTAAAAACATAGTTTGAAGATAATAATAAGATAAAAATGAAAGATAAACTGAAAAAAGTATTTTAATAATTTATTGTTAGATATTCAAATATTTCATTTAGATTATCATTAAAAATTAAAGAATTTCTTTTCCTTTTTCTTATTTTGATTTAGTTTATATTTTTTTCATAAAAAATTTAACGAAAAGAAGAAGAAAAAATTCAATTAATTCTATGAAAACAATGTACATCATAGAAAAAGAGAGACTGTTGACTTGAAAAAACACACACACGCAACATTTACTTTATAAGAAGATTTTAACAGAATATAACATCATCATGTTGTCACTTTAAGGGCAGATAGATAAGATACTTAGCTAATTCAATGTTTTTTTTCGCATAATATTATTATCCTCTACGTCATTCGAAGTTTTTCCCGTTTTTTAATGAAATAAATTGTCTTGTTAAAGTATATTCGAGGATGTAAAGGTGAGAACTTTGATGATATGAAAAGAACTTGATTGTCGTGTTGTGATTTGTATATAACATATAATTAAAATATCGGTTGGAAAGAAATCTAAGAGATCATATTAAAGAATAGACAATCTACTTGAAAAATATCTGGTGTTATAGAGTCGATGAGTAATTATGTAATCGAAGCAGAAGACAACTTTATAAAGAATTATAAACAAATCTTTTATCGAGAAAAATTCTTGCCAAAATAGTATTTGAAAAATTCAACGAGCAACAATTCATGATGTAGTTTCAATAATCTTTTTTTTTGTATAAATGAATTGTATACGTTGACTTGAGAAATCATCTCGGTTTAAATTACTCTCTATTCAACAAGATCTATGAAGTTTCCCAAGCAATAATTGACTGGTTTGATATATTACGGAATAATAGCATTCTTCGGATTTTTTTAAAATACAAGATGCATGTCGACTTAACTTATGTTATAAATGTATCAGTATGATTATTCTTTTAAAATAATCCTTTGTTTAACTTTAAACAGAAACGGTCTCTAGAATTTACTTCTTAGTTTTTTTTATAGTATAAGAATATAATTTCTTAGTGATACGTAATCATTATTACAAATTAATAAATAATGTTATTTATAGAATTTGGAATCTTGCGATTATATTTGTTCGTAAGTCAGTAACAATTGAGATTCAATTTCTTTTGTTTATTTATCAATCAAGAGTGTTGTAACAACTTCTATTTTTATCTGTAAGTAGTTTATGTTTACTCGTCGCCAGGCGTCACATCTCTGGGTGATGTTGCTTTTTTTTGTTTAACAACAGAAGAGCAATGAAGAAGAAAATGGAATAATCGGATTATGCATATTCGTACGACATCTTGCATTTTTCTTTTCTTTAATATAATCAAACAATTTCAAAAAACCGATTTTCTTTTGCAAGCAAATATTTAATCAATATTTTATTAAAAATTTAATAAGATATCATAAATCCAGGGAAGATAAAACCCGACACGTGTATAAACACCAGAAGAAATTGACGTATCACATTGTCTATTTCCATAACTAACAATTCCAGTGGCGACAAAATGTCCTTGTTTTTTATCATTATATTCAACAATAAGTAATGGACTACCACTATCACCTGAACATGTATCAATTGAAAGACTATTATAACCTGCACATAATTGTCGATTAATATCAACAATTGATTGATGACATTTGATATTTTTTTCATCAACAATAGGCATAACAACATGTTGAAGGATAGGAGAATTTCGATTATTTGGTTTTGCTACTAATTTTCCCCAACCACTAGCAACAGCTGCTGTTTTTTCTGGAGGATAAATAGATGATTGTTTTGTTGGAAGACAACAAGGTTGAAGATCAGAAGCAAATGATCGTTTTATTTTAATAAGAGCTATATCATTAATTTGCATACTATCATTATATTGATATTCAGGATAAATGAACAATTTATCAATATCATATCGATCACCATTGAACTGACGAAGATCATGAACTCTTGCAAGTATTTGTGATTTATTAGAATTTCGACCAATTAAACAATGTGCAGCAGTAAGAATTGCATTGGAAGAAATAATAAATCCTGCACAAAAAGGATCTGTTGTATATCGATCAGTTAATGCAACAAGCCATGGATAAGTAAATGGTAAAGCATCTTTACCACCAACAATTTTTGACATAAAAGATTTTTCATAATTTTGATTTGGACAACCACATGAATGTTGACTACAAACAAAATCTGGATAAGATAAAAGAAATGATATAGTATTTCGATAACGGAAAATAAAATAGACAAATAATGGAATCAATGCACCAATAATAAGTAAGACACAAAGACCACAGACACAAAATAGAAAATAACGACGTGAAATATTTTGTCGTAGGTTCATCCGACGAACTCCTCTTAGTGGTGGTGCTTGTCGCGAAACACCATAAGGTTGTTCGAAGTACATTATTTTTTTTTTTGTTGTATTGTTGTCAATCTTGCTTGTGTTCTATTATATGTTATAACGAAGACGCTATAATAAATCAGACGTTAATCTTGACCTTATGAAAGATTAGCAATAAATGAATCATTGTTTTTTTGCTTTTTGCAAACTAATTGTTTTCGATAAAAATGTATTAGAACTTTAGTATGAAATTGACTATAATTATTAATATAAGATCCAAGTTTTGTTTCTAATTGAATATGACAAAAATGATTTTCTTCATCAGCTAAATAATAATAGTGTATTTTAAAAACAGCACGATTCTATATGTTAACTTTGTTACGAAATAAAATTAATAAAATGTTTTTTTTTTCATGTCTATTTAATCTCTAATATCAAAGTCAATCTTCATCTTTTCAAGGTCGAATAAAACATAAAAAACAAAACTTTCTATTTTAAATAGTAGTATTTTGCCTATAATCATTGTTTTGAGCATGATCTCTTTTTGTATTGAAATATCAATATTATCTGACTAATTACATATAAAATTAATCGATTGAGTAAAGTCTTTTTATCAGGTTAATAATCTTGATTGTTGTCATATCGATCAAATATCGATATATACAATGTTTTGTCAAATTTCAGTTCAACGATAGAATTATCACATCTGATTTCGAGCTTTTAACTTCAGCTTTCGGTTATAAGTTGGTCTCAATGAAACTAAGGAAACTCTACAAGTGTTTATACTTATGACTATTCATTATCGAAATATAATTAACCTTAGGGCGATAAAAAAAAAACTAATCTTTTTAGTTTTTTAAAATTATCGTTTATGCATTATCATAATAATTCTCTGTCAAGTAAATAATGGGGAAATGGTCACTAAAATGCACTATTATCCATAGCTAGACTGTTTTGACCATTAAAATGCATTTTTTAAAGTGAAAAATGGAGAATGATCATTAAAATGCATATGAATTCGTTTTAGAACCATTTTGACCATTTTTTTTGATCGCCAAGTCTATGTTTTAGCAGTTTTAGACTAATTCAAGTATATTTGTAATCTCTAAAAATTATGCGATTCATTAGTCTTTTCTTACCTAGCGTTCATATTTCACACGAAAGTCAAGAATGCAGTTCAAAATTTATACTAAAAGTCGATGGCAACTTTCGATCGTGATGAAGTCAAGTTCAAGAACAATCACAACAGCTAGTTGTTACATGATTTTTTTAACAGTACATTGGTAATTCTCCAATCAGGAATAGTCGTACTATATCATAATACCCACTGCGTTCACAACTTTTCCTTGAAGCTTAAATGCCTATTGTTGAAAATAGCATAATTTTTTTTAAAGATAGTAGATTGCGGTTTTGTTCACCAAATGGGCCATATGTCATAGAAAATAGGCCTAGCACTGGTTTTTTTCTGATAGATGTAGAATGAAAGTGATTCTAAAGCAATATGGTCAGCAGTGTCACAGATCCGGAAAATCGGGAATCTTAGGAGGCATTGCATGTAAGTCACGACCAATCCCAGCAGACCATTGCTCTATCGATGTCACCGATTTGACTGATATTTTTACAGTAGGTAGGCCCAATAGACTTAGGAAGAAACTGAAAATTTCAGGTCAAACGGATAAGCTATTTTGGAGATATAGATGACACAAGTGTGAGGGAGTAGGTCCTATATGGAGTACTTTATAGCGCAACACTTTTCAGTAAATCTCCATTTTCTGGTGAACAGCAAGAGATATAACCGAGATTTTTTCACCATAAATACTATCCACGATGAGGTATATTTTTATGGTAATAAAAGTATCTCATCCCTGAATGATTTTTGCCTGGCATTATATACCATTTTTAGAAAACATCCTGACGTAGATACGGTAAGTTGGTTGAATCAGCGCACTAGAATTAACCAAGAGTAATCTCATCTGAAAGAGCACATCAAAATGCATTGAATGACGCTTTCAAAAGTTTGTAGAATTGAACTTTGGTAGCAAAGATTTTTTGAACAAGACTGGAAGGGCAGAATTTGGGGCCCGATTCTCACTATGTAGATTGATGATTTATTTTCAAATGTTTGATTTAAGCATTTCAGATGAAAGCCCATGTCGAGAAACCTCTAAATTAAAAATTTCAGCTCATTTGAACTTATTTGTGAAAAATGATGCAACTTTCATTTTTGTGAAATATCATAGGATAGTATATACAGTAGTGGACAAAATTATAAGAACAAAGATCTTTTTTAATGTATTAGTGTGTTTCCATCTCCTCTTTCTCTGCTTGAACTGATCTATCAATCAGTACATATACATTGAAGTATGCTCTATTCAAATATCACATTATAATCTTTTCAAACCTATTTATTTTCATTAAAAAAAATCCAACAAAAAACCAAGGGTTTTTGACCTGGTCAAAATTATAAGAACAGATAAATGTTTACATGGCCTTTCTGGTAAAAACGAGTCGATATTTTGATGAAGTATTACCCTTTACATGGACACATTTTTTTTTATACGCCTATACTCTAAAAAAATCCGTTTTCTCGAAAACCTAAACTCCTGCGGAAACCGTTTCAGAAACCCATAAAGGTATCTGGAAAGGTTTCCGAACGCTAGTTGAGTTTTCGAAAATACCTGCTGCGTTTCCGAGTCTCCGAAAACCAATGGATTTCCGAGAATACGATTGCGGAAACAATCATCTGTATTCTCGGAAACCCTGGGCTATTGTTGAGAATCGAAAGATTTCCTCGGAAACCTTTTTCGATTTCAAAACCTTCTCAGAAATCACAGACGTATCCTTGAATACCTTTGCGTTCCTGATATTTTTTTGTCGGAAACCGCAGAAACATTTCTCAAAATACTCATATAGTTTCCGAAGTTATCTCAAAAGCCCTATAGAGTTTCCAAACCTTTGGAAAACCTTTGAGTCTCCGAAAAAAGGCTCGGAAATCCATTATTCTTATGAAAAACCAAAATATTAATCGAATATCTTCTTTTTGACCTCCATGTTTCCACCATACAATTTTCAGGTTTAATAGTTGCTCGATACGAATGACATGAGTTTTATTCAAGTAATGCTAAATTGTTTTGAAAAAGTATTGGGACTCTTAATACAAAAAGAAACGCTTTGTTTCCGAGAAAATTTTGATTTGTTTTTATATCTTTCCTTATCTAAAAATTTGAACTCAGTATGACAAGTTTTACTGTGAAAATCGGGGAGCAGCAAAGAAATACTAGATTACTCAAAAAGACATGAAGACACTGTATTAAGAGGCTCAAAGACTGTGACTGACTTCGAGAGTCTCACTGACTTTGAGACTTTGACTGACAACAAAACTCTGTATTAAAAGACTTGAAGACTATGACTCACTTTGACATACTGACTGACTTCCGATGTCAAAAGTCAGACGCCAGATCACACAAAATCCTATTAGATCTTGTGCATACAAGAATTTTTCCAAGTTCTACGCGTAAAACTAGTACAAGCACATATGCATTACTTATCTCCAACGTTTCATTACATTCTAACTGTATGTATATTCAGCAAAACTCGTGTACCCTGCCAAGGTTAAGAAACTTATAACAACCGGCTGAATTACTCAGGTCAGATATTATCAGATCAAATAAGATTTATAAACAAAACAACGTACAGTAGACCCTAACACAGATCCTGTCTGTTCTTTTCGTATCGTGTATGATCCCACCTGTGACATTTCTAATTCGGCAATTCCGCCTCAATCTATTCGTATCTTCAATAAATATATGTGAAAAAAAACTTTCCACGATTACACTGATCCTGGTGAGCTTTGCATTAGTGAAAGGGTTCTTACCTTCTCGAGTAAATGTTCTCCAAAGTAGCTTCTCAAAGTAAGAATGTATGTCTAAACTTTAAACAGAATTAAGAAAGTTTTCTCTCATATGAATTACTTCTCGAAGAATGGATGTTACAGTACATAGCTTCCTTTACAAATCTAAGTCTTCTTTTCGATATCTCAATGGATATAGATTCATATATACCAATAGCATTATTCCTATATCCACTCTATACAAATTGAAGTCTTGTTTTGAATATCTCAGTCAACATAGATCAAGATATAACAATATCATTATTTCTATATCTATGATATAGAAATCTAAGTTTTCTTTCGAATATCTCTGTCGATATATATTGAGATGTAGATATATCATTATTCCTATATCTATGATATAGAAATCTAAGTTTTATTTTGAATATCCCACAGTAATATACATAAAGAGTGGTTGTACATGTCCATGTTGATCAGTGTACGTACATCTATCCAAAATGATCAATTGACATATATGCCTCTGCTAACTTTTAATCTTATACATAGAAACTCATTCCCAGAGCTTACATTAATTTTTCAACCTAAATGTAATGTCTATTTTCATTCAGTTATTCCCAAGCTTCATTTGATAATCTCTTCAACTAATGACCTCAGTACAAGATATATCAATTTAATTAATAAATAATCACAATTTTTAGTCTTTTACATTTTTCCTTATGAACTCACGTTAGTGGTTGATATTAATGAAAAGCATATGAACAGTTCTTACATATAGAGGATAGATTGAATAGAATATGTATAATATCTGTGATGTAAAGAGGAAAATAAACCAAAAGATGACTTGAACATCGAGCAAGCGTAGCACATCACTTAATCATCATTTCGCTGATGAAATATTTCCAGAGGCTTTCTTCATTTTTTCGGCGACTATTGTAATCCATTGCTGACTATACGGTATAGATTAGATATCTTCACATTCTGCATTTGACATGAACATAAGATCTAAATGATAATGTTGTTTCAATTAAATTGAAAAACCTACGCATATTATTTATTTATATCAGAATATGTTGAACTTTATGATTTAAAATATTTCCTAAAATTTCCACCGTGTCTATCTAACACAGTCGCGTAGCTCTCTTCGTCAGATTCTAGCTTCAAAATTCTGAAATAAACTCTGTAGCTTCATTTAAATCATTTAGTCATCGATAGATTCTAAGTAAAACAAAATTCATGCTTGTTTTCGTTTGTGTGGTAGCAATGGAGAACGTTGAGAAGTCAATAATCTAACGAATAATGTAAAAATAATAGTAATTTCTATATTTTTAACATTTCCTTTAAAAATTTGTAGAACAGTACATTTCATTCATCATGTAGAATTATTTTTATACTTCACTGCACATCAGAAATTTTTCGAAATCGAGTACATAATGTAAAATATCGTTTTTGCAAACATTTTCATAGCCCATTTTGAGCAGTTCACTCCTGTTATCTCGCCTCAAAACAGTGGACGCATATAGTTTAAAGCAGTTCGTTAAGAGAAACTTCACTTATAAAAAAATTAATTCAAGTTATCACTTAGAACACATTTCTGCTGAAATGATGATTGAATTAAATAGTTAAAACAGATTATGAAAATAGTCAAAAAAGTCATATTTTATATCGTGCACTCGATTTCATCTGGCATTTTACTAGTTATACGTAATAATAGCAACGATCAATATTGATAAGTAAATTACATTGTTCTTTCGATGATTCAATACAGTTTTCATCCAAACTTTAACGTAATAAATACTAAAAAAGCAGAATATGTTGAAAATAGCAGATGTCATACTAAGTAACACTTGTTAGTTTTAGGTCCAAGAAAAATTCAAATAATTTTAGATGAGTTTTCTGAGAGTATCGTCAAGATTGGCGTATTAATTTTTTACATCAAGTATTTAAGATAGCACCAAAGATATCTAGAGAATATATCGAACGGGATATGTAGCAAGGAATCAGATGAAAGGAGAGAAGATAAAAGAAATAGTGAGACAGAGAAAAATATGAAAAATGTGACATAAAAATGTCTTCAAATCGACATAATTATAACGGTATGAAATGATCACAAAAAATGATGTGTGTTGTCAGCATTATTTTGTCATTTTTTTACACCATTTTTAGTGTTCGACAAAAAAATCATTTTAATGGATCACAGAGGATTCATTTTTTTATTACGATTTGAATGTGTTTTAATGCTATTTTACCATTTTTTCCCTCTCTGGACATCATCGTATTCTTTTTCAATTTCTCGACTATTTTCAGTTGTTCATATATAACTTGGTAAAATATATAGTTATTTTAGTTTTCAACGCATAATTTTTCGTGAACATATTTTCCTAGTGTTGTTGAGTATGTTGATTGTCTAGAAATTAATGACGATGATGATTTTTGTAAAAAATAATATTCTCTTATAGGAGAAGTTTTATATGATGAAAAAAAAAACAACATAAAATGAAGATGTTGTTTATGTTTTGTTAGAGTTTTCTTCTTGCTTCTGTTTGTTTTTGAAGTAATCGAAGAAGTTCTAATGCACGTTCTCTAAATCGATTGCGTTCTGGTCCCGATGCAGTCTTTTTCATATCTTCATCTTTCACAATAACACCTAGAAATAGGATTGTCAATAATAAATGAAAGAAAAAGAAATAGATGATGAAGACAAACCAAGTAAATGTGATGGAACTGGTTCATCATATATATTTATAAGTTCATGATTTTGTAGATGAGTTTTTTCATTAGGCACAGTGAAATTAATAAGATCTGATGAATATGTCACTCTTCCATCTTTGAAAATAAAAATGGAAAGATATTATAATAATAAGAAAAAAAACCTAGTAACTTACTTTTAAGTGTTGCTATAATTTGAACAGTATGCTTTTCACCAGGTTTAAGATAATGTATACAAATTAGCATTTCTTGATGTATTGACGATTGGTTTATCTATGGGATATACGTATAATAGAATATTAGTGTCCTTCAGGAACACTGTTTCTTCCATCTTGTTTCTCGATAGAACAAGAATGAAAACGATATGAAATATTGGCGTTCCCGAATTTTGTTCTTTTCGTATTATTTTCATATAAAGAGTAGGAAGAAAGCTTCTAGACAAAATATTTGACTAGTTTTAGCGTATTTAAATACATTGAAAAAGAGTGTGAAATAGTGTTTTAAAACCAGAATTTTGTGCTATTTGAGAATATATGCTAAGGATATTTTCTATAACTTCTGACTATTGAGCTATAGGTGGATCTTGAAAAGACTCAAAAAAGAAAGTTTTTTGGAAAAGAAAATCTCCAAATGGAACTTATTTCACACACACATGTCACAGAATTTTATTGAATATACTGAAAGATATAGAAAATAATTCTCTACAAAGCGGTACATTTGAGTAAAAAGTGTTTTACAAATCGTTGAGATGCAGTGAAGATCTATATAAAGTTTATCACTAGAAAAAATGACTATTTTTCCTGATTTTCGTCTTTTCAGTGCAAAATGACTCTCTGTCACAATTTGATCATTTTTTAGCGAATTAAACAAAAATCTTCATTCTTCAATCATTTGGTAGAGTAGAGATCACTCTCAAGCACCATATATTTATAGAATTTATTTGATATTAACAGGAAACAGACTTGCCTCCAGAAAAAGAAGATTTTTGCTTTTCGAAAAATTTTTTTGGGTATTGTCAAAACTTACTTGTACCTCAATAGTCAAAAGTTACAGCAAAATTCTAAGCATATATTCTGCAAGAGTACAAAAGTCTGATTCTATTACACTACTTCTCACCATTTTCCGATGCTTTAAATATACGAAAACTAATCAAATATTTTGCCCAGTAACTTTCAGTCTACCACTTATATAAAGGCATGTTTATGTAAAGACTATTTATTTTTATGTATTTAATCATATGTACTTCTAATCTTAGTTTTATTTTAAAATTTCAAATCATATCAAATTGTCTAAATCCAAATATCATCAGAAGTTAGTGTCTCATAGTAATATTTTCTCTCAGACATAAAAGAATGAAATAAGAATAAGAAATCTAAAAGTTTTTCAGCTAGGACTGTGAGTTGATTGACTGAGCAGTATTTTCCATTTTCAACGAATGAATTCATAACCAAAAACTAATCCGAATCAAATATGATTGGCTCTATATATAACATTTTATTATAATTAATTCGTTCATTACCAAATCGATTGATTACTGTCTCAGTTAGTTATCAAGTTGATTAAATCTGTGACTTGATCGATGATCTCGGTGGATGAAGCGTAGATATAGATAGAGAAAACAATAAAGACCTACACCTACACTCTATGTTAATTACCAACTGAAATGCTAACCAATCGATTTGGTAATGAAAAAATTAATTAAAATAAAATGCTACATATATATATAGTCGATTATATTTAATTAGGACTACTTTTCGGTTATGAATTCATTCGACGATATTGAAATTGATGAAAATGGACTAATTCTACTGAGCCGCCACTGGTGGGATAATAATAATACACAGTAGTTTTAAAAATTTACGACCTCTAAAATCATGATTCGAGAATGTTTTTAATCTATTTTTTTTATTAATTTGTTCTATACTATTGATATTTTTTCATCCGAAAAATTCATGAAATAGAAAATTTTTTAAGAAATCTTGAAAAACTTTCAACTATCGCTACTACTGAATAGAAAAAGAAGTAACACTAAACTCAACCACCATTGTAGATCTAAACCTCGGTTGATCTTTCTGCTTATGAGAACGAATCGCGAAAAAGTGTTCTCATCACAAGACGCTATTCAATAAACAAAAATTTAGTAAATAAATTTACATAATGAATTTCTTTCTCGTCTAAACAGACAATATATTTTTGAGCGTAACGATCACCAATATGATACCATTTAATAATAACATTAAATGTTGAAGGATCGTTTTTATTGGGATCAAAACGTATTATTGGACTTAAAGCAAAAATTTGACCATTAAAGAAAAAAGACTAAAAATAAATAAATATATCAGATTTATTTTTTAAATTAAATAAGACATACGCAAGACTTTGATTCTTTTATTCGCCAATCTTTATTGAGAGGAATTGCTTGAATTTTGACATCTATTTGCTTCTCTTGTTTTATTACATCGAAACCTGATGCTGATATATATTGATAAGAACTATCGAATTCAACTTGATAACACTTATTAACAATTAACTATTGTCAAAGAAAATAAACATATTAATTATATAGTTTTCATGATCTTATACATTATTCTTTTTTTTTAATATACAAAATATTTACAAAAAATTTTTCAATAAGTCGCCGAGCTGATTCAGGTTCGATCTTGATAGTTGCATAAATTTTATTATCTGGAAATTCCATAGCTTCACGACAAAAAACAATGTCAAGATTTTCCCATAGTTTTTCGTCTTTCTATATTCAAATGGAAAATAATTATCAATAAAAATTAATGGTCAACGTATTACCATTTCATCTATTTCTTTATAAAATGTACTATAACAAAAAAAAAAAAAACAAGTTTTACGATCAATACGTTAATAATAAAAACAGCTTATACCGTGTTTGTCCGCTGGATTCTATATTACTCATTATCACATTTTTTAATTCAGATGAACTATAAAACGAACGATAATATAGCAAATATTTTCCGACAAGATAAATGCAAAGCTTCTTTGGTTGTTTTTCTATTTATTTAGTCGAGTAAAATAATCTGTTTTTTTTCTCTCACGTAATAAATCTACCCATAGCGGGAATGCAAAAAATGAATAAAAAGTTCTTTTTTTTCTTTTTCGTCGACATTTATTTTTCTTTCCTCTTGTCTGCTTAGTAACAATGATTGTGTACAATGTTTTTTGCAAATAAATTTCAAAGAGAGAAATTTTAACAAAGTCTAGCAATAATTCGTACAAGATCATATTCTAACTTTATCAAACAAGAAATCATCCAATAGTTTTGTTTTTATTTATTTTGTTATAAACAATGAGTAGATCTCGTTCATCTGACTATTATCACGTATAAATGAATTATTATTTAATAAGACTTTAAAATAAATTTTCTTTATTTATTTTAGTCTGGAAGAGAACATTCTCCAGATGATAGGATTGATCAATTGAATATTCGTTATCGAACTTGTCATTCATATGTTTCTCCAGAACAAATCGAGTATTTATTTTAATGAATATTTCAATAATATATCTATTTTGTGTTTAGTAATGAAAACGACGATACTTGTGCATGTAAACGACCGCAAGACAAACATAAATTTCAACAATCAATAGAAAATTCTCGCTGGACTATGATATATAATACTCGAGAAGAAATTAATGCTGCATATGGTCGACTTCAAAAGGGTGCAAAGGTATAATAAGATATTTATTTACGTTTTTATTAGTTTTTTTTATTATTTTTATTGATTTAGTTTGTTCGATTAGCTTTGGATACACCTGAAGAAAAAACTGAAAAAATTCTTCGTGATGCTTGGGACCTTCTAACACCTTCATTTATTATATCAATTATTGGTGGTGCAAAATATTTTAAAATAAGTGATCGACTTGAAACAAATTTTATAAATGGTATTATTGATATAATTCAAAAATCAGGTATATAATGAAACAATTCTATCATTATGATAGTTGATTATTATTTTCTTTTTTTGTTTTTTAGATGCATGGCTTATTACAAATGGATATGCTACTGGTATTGTTCATCTTGTTGGACAAGCAATTCTTAAATTTAAATTATCAAATGTTAAGAAAAACTCCATCATTGCTATTGGTATTTGTAAATGGGGTAGTATAAGAGATGTAGAAGAAATAACACGTCCAAAAGATGAAGAAACAGAACAGGTTTAATTTAAAAATAAAAAAAATATTAATTAATATAGTTAAGATTAATTTTACAGATAACTACTGATTCATCGAATATTAATAACAAGAAAAGATTAAAAACACGTCGATCTGGTGAATGGGATCTTGAAACGAATCATAGTTATTATCTTATGTTGGATGATGGTACTCTTCGTAATTATGATACACAAGATTATCGAACCCGTTTGGTCACTCATATGGCAAGAATAAATAGTGAACATGATTTTTTCGGTATGTATATTTTTTTTATGAAGTTTTACATAGAAGATTCTTCTAAAGGTTATGATACCATTTTAAATGCCTATAATTCTATTATTAATAAAGTTTACTCAAATAATTTTTTATTTGTAAGAGGAAACTTAAAAGTTTTCATTCTGAAAGACTAAATTTATAAATACGCTATGAATATTATTATTTCTGGATTGTAATATAAAAAGAAATTGGTACTTTTCCAATGTCATAAAACAATATGTAACGTTTGGTTTTGTTTTGCTATATTTACTTCAATTTATATAATTACTATGAACTTTAAAAGCAACATCTCCTCCTTCTTTCACGACGTCAAAAATGAAAATTTTTACGATGTTTTTGTTTTTCAATTGATCTATATATCTTGAAGTGTTCTCTATCAATTTGCAAAAAAAAACTTCTGTTGACAGCATTTTAACCTTGAAAAGAATGATTCTCGACACTCTCCTATCTAAAAAAACACTCGATTTTTTACCTTGTGTTGTTCTCAAAATATTTTATCTTTGGGTTTAATCTATTTATAGTTATCTCATTTTTAGCGTATGATCACGTTAGAATTGCAGATTGAGATAATTGAGACATTGTTCGACTTCAGTTCGAGATATGATCAATATGACAGTCGACAATTTCCGATTTCAAACTTATTTTTAATAGTATGTATTATATTTTATATTCAACGCTATTTCTAATCGTTGATTGAGGAGTCAGTATCTTCAGTATGATTTACTCTTAGTTTTTAACTCTTTCGTTGACTATTTCATTTATTTCCTTTTCTTCGTTAGTAATAAAAGAGAGATATACTCAACAAGACGTATAGTATTCATGGAGTTCTGATAACGGAAATCTCGTAGGCATAAAAACGGTATTTGCTGAATGTAGGAAACTAAGTCATTGAATGCACAGTAGTCGAAAATTTATAAACTGTCAAATAAAAAAGAAAAAGAGATGAGTATTTAGGAGAAAATCGAAATTTAATTTTGTTTAATGTTTTTCTCAAAACCAAATTTAATAAAAAAAGAAGTACTGTTTTTCCGATATGGCAAGAGGAATCATACTGAAAGTTCTTTTGCATATACTAGGAACTATTTGGCATCGGTATTTCTTTTATCTCAAAAACTATTTCTCTGCCGATTTTTTGCAGTTTTCACAAAATTTGAAACAATATAAGAAAACAAAAAAATCATACTCACTCTAAAGAGTGTTTAGTATCCGTAAAAAAAAACTTCAAGGGAATCGAATGCAGTATTTCGGAGAAATAGGAGCGAAAAGAGAGGTTCTTTTGACCAGTTGTGAGCTGATATTTCATAGAAGATAGCATTCGAGAACTTCGAGTCCAGCACAACTTTTGCTCTACTGTTCAAGATCTATGTACCCTGAAAATTTCAAAATTTTCTAATGAACCGTTCTTCAGAACCACCGGAAGGACGGAGTACCCTTAAATTATTAGCTTGTCTCACTACTATTTTATGAGTATGCACTTTTATATGTTCTTATGAAAAAAATGTACTAATGCCAAGTCTGATGACAGTTGAGATCATGCAATGAGCTGATACCTTTATATTACTGATTATCATAGTGTTGGTCTTGACAGTAATAAACTGCTTTCCCATTATATATTAGTATATAAATCGTTTTGAAAGTTATCGAACAAATGTTAAATAAGCAATGCAGAGATATGCCAATGATTTAAAGTCTATAATAATGATATAAATTGAAGTAAATATGAAAAAATAAAAATAAAAAGTTATATCTTGTTTTAATGACATTGGAATAGTGCTAAACTTTTTATATTATAACCAAAAATAACAATCTTCAAAATGTATTTAAAGCTTTGTCTTCTAGAATAAAAACGTATCAGTCTCTTCTATGAAATTAAAAAATTTATTTGATTAAGTTTAATCAATAATCGAGTTATAGACAATTAAAATGTGATGATGACATTTGGAATATCCTGTATATTTTTCAAAGACATATAATGAGTGTATATTTCAGTCGAAAGTTCTCGATTGACTTCTCCTTTCCGCAGTAACTGAGATTAAAGTTTATGAAGTGTCTTCCCTCGAAATGGTCCTCTAGCAACGAGCAAAGAAATTGAATACTAGAGAAATCAACTCTCAGAACTGTTTGAAACCCTCTAATGTGCGCTCATAAAACATTTTCTAAAGGTACTGAAAAGTAAAGATTTTTTATATTTGACATAGTTAAATAATTCTCTAATTGAAGTACTGCAGATTACGTCCAACTATTACAAAAAAAAAACTTTAAACTAATTAGGAGCTTTAGCATTTTGTCATAGATCAACTCGAGTATTTCAGACTTCATCGTAATACAGGATATCGTGTATCAAAGGATAGAATGTAACTCCACGAACGCTTATGATACACTATTACGGTAGTTAAATTTAAAAAATAGAAGAATGAAAGAATAACTAATGAAGAAATCTGCAATATAAATAAACCGACAAACAATTACTCAGTGCATAGCAACAAAATAAACAATACAAAGAGACGCAAAATGAATAATAAGGGGAAAAAATCACATCGGGCTGTAAAAATAAAAGTAACAGAACGTTTTTTCTCAAGGTCAATGAACATTGGAGAGTAATTATTATCTATTGAGAATTCATCACATTATATACGTATTTTATATCAATATAATATAATTGAACAAGAAATACGAAATAGATATTTCATCAGCCAATTAACTTTCAACGTAGTTAGTTACTCGTAATTGAAATTTGAAAGGTCTCGCTATTAAAAAAAGAAAGCTTGATAAGATTGCTACAATTGATACACTAAAGTAGATACGAAATAGATCATCGATGATTTATTTTTTTATATCTAGTACCTGTGGTTACGATTGTGGTTGAAGGTGGTATAGATACAGTAAAAAATATATATTATGATTTAAAATCCAATATTCCTGTAGTTATTATTGATGTAAGAAAAACGAATTAAATATCTGGTCTTATTAATTAATAATTATATTGATAAATAAATAGGGTAGTGGTCGTGCTGCTGATTTTTTTGCTCGTTGGTTATTATGGACGAAGGACCTTGATAAAGATGTTAAACATCGAGATATCGTTTGTGAAATTGAAGAACTAAGTATTGAAGATGACAATACAGAATGTGAGACCATGAGACCTCAAAACACAGATGCAAATAAACGATCCAAATCGAATGTCAAGTAATTTCACTTTTCAGACTATGCTTTTTATTTTTCTTATTTAAAAATTTCTATACTTAATAGTATGAATGATCATACTGAATGTCATATTAATTCTAAAAGTAAAAAGTAAATCTGCAAAGCAATTTTTTTTTTCTTTGTTTTATTTATCTATTTTTGTTTTTTTTAAGACTTGTACAAATTTTCGACAATTATAAGGAACGAATCAAAAAAGATATAGAAGAAACTTTCTTTAAGAATAAAAAATCGAAAAAAAAAGACAGCAATAAAGAAAATGCTGATACAGTCCTTGATCAAGTTATGTATTGTCTACAACCAGCCGTTCGTTCTCATTTAACTGTATTTAATTTAAATTCGAATACTGATTTATCCGAAACAATTTTTCGAAGTATTTGTCGTTGTAAGTAAATAAATTTCAAATAGATTTTTATTTTGTTTTCTTTGATTTCGAACATTTTTTTCTTTGAAGCCCGTCAAAAATTAACACAAATAAAAGAACAAAACAGTAATGATCGATTTGGAACGAGCAGAAGAACATTACCAAAATTAAATACTCGACAAGAAATAATTGATAACCGAATGGCTCGTTCTAAGATTATGGAAAAGGATCAAACTATCGAACGAACAAGACTACTTGATTTAGCAATGAAATGGGATTGTATTCATGTTGCAAAAGAATTTATTTTTCGAAATTCATTAGATAGTATTTTGGTATTGATATTTATTTCATCTTTCTATCTAATATATTATTGGTCTTTTTTTTTTAGAGCAAAGATACATATTTTATAAAAGCTCTACAAGAAAATTTACCAAACTTTGTCTATGAGTTTCTGAAATTAGGAATTGATCCAGTTGATGTATTCTTTGAAAAAAAACAACATTCTAAAGGAGGATCTCGATATGCTAAATTTATTGAAGAGCTTTATGATGATGTTTTAAAGGTATGAGATTTATTTAGAAAAAGTGATTCGCTTTTTTTTTTAACAGATAATATTTATGATTTGTTTTTCTAGACGAGTAGCGATGAAACTCATTTAAAATATTTTATCGAAATTAATAAATTTGACACGGATAGAAACATTAAGACTATTGATTCACTTAATCAAGCTCTCAAGAATCTTATTGGTGATTATATGCATGAACTCTATTTTGAAACACCAGAAGACGAAAAAAATGATCGAATAAAATGGGGATTAATAAAAAATTCTGAAGAATCAGAGCAAGATAAAAATAAAGATACTAAAAATGAACAATATGTATCAGATGAAGCAAAAAAACAAAAAGAATATAATTATATAATGCGTGACTTATTTTTATGGGCTATACTAATGAATCGTATTGATATGGCGAAAGTCTTTTTATCTCATATGAAATATCGAATATGTCCAGCATTGATTGCAACAAAAATTTTAAAACAATATCATTCAAAAGCACATTATGGTGATTTAAAAAAAGGCTATGAAAAAGCTGCAACATATTTTGAACAATATGCAATTGATTGTCTCGATAAATGTGATGATAATGATGTTGACAAAGCATGTGAAATTGTTATACAACAAAATGAACTTTATGGATATGTTACTTGTCTTCAAGTATGTTTGATAATTTTTTCTAGCTAGTAAAAAAAAATCAGAATTTTATATCTATTTAAAGGTTGCTTCTGATGCGCAGGATAAATCATTTCTTTCAGAACCAACTTGTGTACAAGCTATGAATAATATTTGGTATGATAAACTTAGTCCAGAACAAACAAGTATTCGTCATCGATGGGGTTTGCTTTCTGGAATTGTTTCACTTGGTCTTTTGGCTCCCTTTTTCGTTACGTACCGAGAAAGTAAAGAGGTTAGAATTAATTTTTCATATCTTGTGATATTTAATTTTTTAAGATCAATATGATTTTTAACTAATATGAGATATTCAAGATTAGAGAAGTGAAGAAGAATACTTGTTTTCTTTGGCACTAGATATTAATTGATAACATAGGCTGCGGAGCTACAAGACTTGAGTAAGCTCGAGTCTACCTTATATTGTATACATAAAGGACTAGATAGACTCTACTTATTGTAAAAATTTTCTATTACTGTTTAATTTTCATTTTCTTCTAAGAAATAACACGTTGTTACGGGATCAGTCCATATTTTATCTACTACCAGCTCGTGTTGACTAATCATGGACATTAAAATCACAACACTTGAAAAAGCGAAAGTTTACCCTAGATTGACGCTATATAGACTAAGAAAGGCTCAAACATTTTTCTCTCTCCATCAAATTAATAGATTTGAGCAACGCATCACATTTTTTGTACCAAACGTCAGTATTTTTTGCCGGCTTCAGCTGCTAATAATAACATATTCTTAATCAAATAGATTTAGAAGATGTTTTTAAGTAAATATTGGATCATACATCGTCAATGAATTGAACTGGGAGTTCTTCATTACAAGTGAAGTAGAGCTGTACGAAAAACCTGCACTAGATTAGCTAGAATCTGTCAAAGTTTTCCTTCGCTTTCTGCGACTAATGTTACATGCCTATGAAACATTTTCAACAGTGAAGAAACTCACAATGTCACATCATTTTTTTTCTTTGTGAAACATTTCGGCTTCACTGTTAAACTTTTTTCAATACAGTGGATCAGAATCTCTTCTTTCGATGGATACATTTTGATGAACATAAATGTTCTCATATCTCTTCAAATACATATTTTTTTTCGTACACAAGTTGTCAAATTTTTTTTATCTCCATCAGTGTTACACATTGCAAAATGTGAGATCAATAGAGGTGGCACTAGCCGTGTTTCATCTAGGTAGTACCCAAAAACTTGTATTCTCGCATTTTTAAATTTCAGATGAGGATCTTTTTAAAAAATGTTGAGCCTACTCTAGAATAAAAATATTCCGCTGGCTATGCTTCGAAAGTGTGAGAAAATCATCGAATTCTTTTTGATTGAAGTCTCAGTCGATATTAGGCATTCTTACATATCGGAATATGAAAGAGATTGCACTATTACATGTATTAGTTGTAAAATACGTTATATTCATTATATCTCAAATACAGTCAACGTCAACTATAGAAAAATTGCTACAGGGTGTTCCAAAAGTCATTCTACAGTTTGTACTGTACACATTGCACACATTGGAACATTATTTATCAATATTTACTATTTATAATTCATAAATTATTATCTACCAGTTATAGGATGACCTGAAGATCCCTGTTGATAATCAATAATGATTAATAAGTAATGAATAATGAACAATAATTTTCAAATGTATTAAATGTGTGCAGTATCAAATATAAAATGACTTTTAGGATACCCTGTAGATTTGAGAAACTTTTAATAAATAATCTTGAATCGATGTTAATAAATTATACTTATATAATGAAATTAATAATAAATCTCAAAAAAACTTAAGAGTGACTATTTAATTATGTTTCGAATACATTTCTCATAATTATCTTTATCTTTGTTAGAAACGAAAAAAAAATGGATCTACACCACATAAGTGAGTTAATAAGATCCTGAAATGATTAAATATTAATGGCTATTAAAATTCTCCATTTAGATTTCGAGCTCATGGTATTAATTATGGTGAACCGACACTACTGGAATATCCACGCATTCCAAAACCACTAACAGAGAGTGTAGTCATTCGTTATGAACGTAAATTACAAAAATTTCATCGGTCGTTACCTATGAAATATTGTTATCATTTGGTATGTACACATATGTAATGATAAAATATATATCGAAGAATAATAATCAATTCATTTTAGATAACATATATTTTTTTTCTTTTACTCTTCTCGTATTTTCTTTTGTTCAATTTCTCACCACCAAAACCTCAAAGTCCATCGATACATTGGACTGAAATATTAACAATTATTCTTGTTTCATGTATATTAATAGAAGAAATTCGTTATGTACGTAATAATATGTTAAAATACAACAATTTTTCTATTGATCTTTTTTGTTTTCTCATTTTAGTTTTTCGCTCAAGATAATTTAACCTTTCCTGGAAAAGTAAAAAGTTATTTTCGTAATTCTTTTAAACCAATGACGATACTTGCACTTACTCTTTTCTACATTGGATTAATTTTACGATTTGCAAATGCAGATTCCGAAGATGAATTTGTGGCAGCTAGGTTTGTTTATTGAACTTTTTTATTTTTAAAACAATACAAAACACTATTATATCTCATTTGAATTAGAAGAGCAATTAGTTTTTTAAATAAAACTATACAAGATAAAGATTCTATGTACATTAGGCAGAATAAATCGAGACCATATAAGAAAAGTTTGTTTTTTTTTCTTGAAATTAAATCAATTATCGATTTATTAATACAAACATATTTGTAATATCTGAGTGTTTACGAATGAAACAAGTCCAAACTCTAGGTTGAACATTCATTTCTAATATTGTTTTTTTTATACATTGATGATCTCGTGTCTTGCGATTTGAGAATAATTCACTTATTCATATCAATATCTAAATGTTTCTATTTAAAGATATCTAAACACTTTTTTTTTTTGACTCCCATATTCATTAGAGTTGTGATGGCTATTGATGTTGAAATTTGGTGGCTTCGTTGTTTATCATTTATTATCGTTATACCATTTCTTGGGCCACATCTTGTAGCTATTGGACAAATGGTATTAGATAAATGCTTTTATATCTTTTTGCTTTATTTAAATTTCTTTTGCTTTTATAGCTTAAAGATCTTATATTTTTTACGTGTATCATTGCAATTGTTATGATTGGTTATGGTGTTGCATCTCGTTCAATGGTTTATTATCCAGTAGTGAACAAGTTTACAACGGAGACAGATGGTTTTATAAATACTACCTTTGACGGTAGACTTGTTTTTCGTCAGATTTTATATCCTGTTTACTACTTCTTATATGGAGACTTTGGTGATGAGTTAACAAATCTTGATAGTATGTATATTTGAGATGATTATTATATTTTATAGATTGTTTTTCTCTATTGCAAAGGTAATCCTGATGCTGGATGGTCAATTGCAACTCATGTATTACTTGCTATTCATATGATTTTTGTGAATATTTTATTAGCTAATTTACTTATAGCTATGTTTAGGTAAGATTATCTATTTTCTTAATTTTGTTCTTGGAATTATATTTTGTTTTTTTCTTTTTAAAAGTAAACGATTTGAAAAAGTTTATGAAGATACACGAAATATTTGGCATTCACAACAATATTTATTTACACGTGAATATTTCACACGTTCACCATTTTTACCACCAATAAGTCTTATTTATGATATTTATTATTTAATCCGTATGTTCGTCTTCTTTATAAGACGAAAATGTTTCGATAAATCAGCAGATCCAGAGGCTCCAGCATTCAGTAAGAATAGAAAACAAAGGAATTTTTTATCAATATTTCTTAATCGACTTTGTTGTAGAAATTATTCCCAAAAAGAGAGATATTATAAAAGAATGGCATGACTTTGAAGATGCATTCACATCTGACTATGCTCATGATGAAGTAAAAGCATTGATAACCGCGTCTATGAAGTAAAATGAACAAAACAAAAGGTTTTTTTTTATTATAAAGACTAAAATAAATTTAGATCCAAATCTGGCTCAGATTCAGACAACAAAAAGAAAAAAGACGATATGGTTAAACATGATAATGATTTAAATAAAGCTAATGATAATCTTAAACAAGTACAAACCGATTTATCCAAATTGAATACGATTGTTGAAGAAATGAATAAACGATTGGAAGACGAAATTACACCTATTCCATAATCCGATTCAAAATAAAAAAACTAACTAAATTGTTTTCTATTGAGAAAAAGTAAAATTCAATCATTTCAAGAACGTGAATTATTATTATTTGTTTATCTAACTGTTATAGTTTTACTTTCATTTTGATCTGTGATTCAAATTTTACTTAAGTTGTATAATTATGATCTCATTTTTGTATTGATGTTTTCTCTCTTCATTCTTGTCATTTGTTTACATATATAATCTCAAAATTTAAATTTTTTGAAGTTTGATGTTAACATTTTTCAATTTCTTTAATATACTTTTTCATTATTCTCAACAGATTTCATATAGATTTGAAGCATATATGAGTAATAAAATATTCTAATGAAATCATATTAATGGATGTTGCAAAAGTGCTTGAATACATATTAGATTCAACGGTATTCGAGCAGAAGATTATAGGAATAATCACTATTATTTCTTTGTTTGATAGAGTGTAATATCTACTTTATAATGAAATATTTCATCGACTGCTTTTATGCACGAGTTAAAAATTGCTTTGAATTTTTCCAAAACCTGTGAAAAATACACTGTAAATTTCTTCAAAATAGCTATTGCTTTATCGAAAAAAAATGAATTATTTGACTAAGATGTTACGTCATCGGTTGACTTTTAACCCTTTTCAATCAGATGTTGTTATTTGACAACATTGAGCCAATATTTTAGAAAAACTTGATTTGTAGTGATGACATATAATTTTTTGATAATTCGATAACTATTCTAACATATTTCAGCAGATATTCATTCATTCATAAGAAAAAAAATTATTTCACTGACAGGACGGATGAATTCATCCACAAGACCCCAAAAGAACCATCCGGATCGCATGAGTTTTTTCCTATGCATCTAAAAATTCTATGTCGGAGACAATTAGTGGTTAAATTCCATTCGTAGACCTATTGTATTACTAAGGACATTTATTCAGTAAATCCAGACAATAAAAAATAGGAATGCTGCCCTTTGGCAACACCCGCCAGTAACAGGACAAAATAATTTTAAACTTGCTTTTCGTTGGCAATCGTCAATGTACTCTGTCATATTCTGATGGTAATATATCTATCATTGGGAAAGAAAAACTTCTTTTCTCGTTAATGGAAAGACATCTTCTACAACCCAACCGAGATACAGATGCTTCCAGGCATCTCGTGTAAGGTTTACATCGATTTTTTTCTGACAAGATGTAAGTATGCTGGTATTATAGTTTTCGTCAAGTTGTGTAGAAACTAATATCAAGTTTTTATTGTCTATATAAAATAATTCGCAGAGTTAAAACTCTAGAATTCATTGTTTGGGAGAACTTGTAAATTTAGAAAAAGGGACACTTTATGCCACAATTGAATTGCCCAGAAAATTTATATATTCAGCTAAAAAACCTCAAATACATGATCAAAATGAAACTTATACTATACATATTCAGATGCCATGTGCCGGATTTTTCAAAAGTATTCTTCGCTCTAAATTTGTTGATGTCAAGGATCTGAAGGTCCAGAAAAACTTTATATTGGGAGCTAATTTCCTCAAAAACTAAACGTCAGAATTTCTTGAATATTTTTTTCTGAATAGACCTCAATGATTAAAACTAGTGATTAAAATATAAGACTTCCTGTTTTACGATTATGCGAAACCGAACTCCTCAAAATTTGTCTAAAATCAAGGCTCAATGGTAGAAGTTGAACATACTTCGTCATAGAAGATTAGAGATTAACCAATTACTTAAAACTACCTTTTATGCTGAATGCAAATATGATATCTGTTGTTTATAATAAGGTCCAAAAACATTGAAAGAGTCAGAAAAAAAACAATAAAATAGTACATGATTTTTAATAGTTCTGTTGGTATTTTTGACTTTTTTCCTGCAATCGCTCTGAGTTAGATTTTTTGACAACGTATTCAAACATATTTGTTAATTAAAAAAATCTATTTAGCTATCATTTTTGTCTTCCTCCTACAGTGTAAAATAGAAAATAAGTTATAGAGAACAGAAAATGATATTCTAGGAATGTCCATATGGTAAATTCAACTTTGGTCGAAAGTAAAAATGTCGAATGTAAAAATATCGAAGCTAAAATGTCGAAAGTAAAAAAATCGACAATAAAAATGTCGGCAGTAAAAACGTCGAAAGTAAAAATGTCGAAGCTGAAATGTCGAAAAAACTTTATAAAAATAAAAGGTAAAATTTCCAAAGAAAGACTGTTTTGAAAAATGTTAGATAAAAATGTCATTATTGGGGTATGGATGGGTGCGGGTGCTCTCTGAAAAAAAAGGAGGTTTGCAGAACCCCTCGAAAAGGTTCTGTA